AAATAGAACAGATAAACCAGATCAAGAGATTTCCAATCTGAGATGAAAACGAAGAGTGCAGAGGGACACGCCATCACAATAGTAGTTATGTGCCATGCAGGTTTAGAAAGAACAAACCATGCTCATGCCTGCTAGTTTATCAAGGCAGCATCAAGAAGATTTAAGAAGAAAATATGTCAATCCCAGACAAAGGTACTTTAAGGAGGAGTTCAGCAAACACAAGAGGAAAGGACTGACAGAAGCCAGAACAGGTACAAAGCAGTTTCTGTCATCCCCAAATACTGGAGCTTCTGGGGCATCAAATAGCTCCCAAAATAGACACGATACAGACACAGAAGACAGAGAGATGACTCAGGAGGCGATGACACTCCTGCCAAGTTTGGCTTCCCAGGTATATGATCCTACAGGTGCCTTGCAGCTCAGGTGCTCTGCTGCAAGCATAGCCACCACCAGAGCACTCTGTATTCTTCTGTCAGATCATGAGAGACAAGATGGGAAAGCCCAGCTGATGGGTTAGGGAAGTCTGGGAGAGACTTCGGAACACAAGCCTGATGCTCTGAATTTGTATAGGAACTAACAAAAATCCTTCCCAAAGCACTGGAGCACGGGGGGTTTTTTTATCTGATTAATATTGTACTAATACTTTGGGATCAAGCATGGCTTAAATCTTGGACAGCGGTAAGAAAAAGTCATGATGCAATTAAACAACCAGCTGCAAGGAACTGAAGGTGTTCCAGGGAGAATCAAATCTTAGAACCAGGACATAAATGCTGCAGTTGTTGCTCCCTACACACCAATGCATGTTTACGTCCTTGTGTGGCCCAAATGCCACTGTCAGAGCAGGTGCAAAAGAAAGAAAAAGCCAAACCAAAATAGCAAAATAAAACAACCACCCCATAACCAGTGTGCAAAGGGAATTTGGTTATGTAAGGATTTATTCTTCCTTTCTCAAAAACCATCTGGTGCTCAGGAGCTCATTTCTTTGTATTCAACCTGATTCCTGGACTGTATTCCAACAGCCTTCATGGCAGCCAAATGTAGAGTCTTTTTTATTTTTCTCCCCTCTCCTGTAGTGTGACAGGAATTGCTGGCACTTGTGCTGTTTCCTACACTTGTCTCCAGTGCTGCAGAAAGAGGAGCCTCTTGCTGCCAGGTTTCCTGCCTCTGTTTCCCTCTGCAAGGAGCTGTTGCTGCTGGCACAGCATGTGGGAGTTGGGGAGCTCTAAGCAGCTTATCTGGACCCTTAGTGCACCCTGGCACCATTGTGTTGTCTGCAGAGCTGGGACAAGACAGGAACATGGAGCTCCTCTCCTATCAACTGGTACCCAGGAGAGCCAGTTGCTCTTCCACGGTGTCCCTGTCACTGACACACATAGTTTCTATCAGCTGTATGCTTGGAAGGGATTATATTTTCTCTACCATGTTTACCATTTCAACCTCTCTGCCCCCTCCAATCCCAAAGAGATGTTTTCCCTGGAAATACTGAGCACAGACCTGTCTTCCACCAGTCCTGCTGAATAAGTGCCCATGAGAGCAGCAAGTGGCTCTGGATTCCGTGCTGAGAAGTCCCAGGGACACTCAGATGTCCTGTGGGCAGTGACAGCAGAGGTGACAGCTCCAGGACTGATGCCATCTCAGCACAAGAAGCATTAAATCCCCACTGGGAATTATTTTTACATCTGGCCTCACGATTCCCTGTCCAGAGTCACTGAGCCTTACCAGCTTCGCTCTCCTTCCTCTTCACCCCTCCTGCAGGGCCATGGCAGGTTCTCAGGGCAGGGACACCAGCAGTGCAGACATTCCAGGTCCATTCCAGGTATCCCCATCTCAGCACACCCAGACACACACTGTGCTCCTGCCTCACTGCAGTGCAGGGAAGGGAAAGTTTATTTAAGCACATGCAGTCACAGTTAGTGACTCTTGGCTTTGGCTCAGCCTCCCGGCATCAACCCCCATACGCCTCCTGGCATACATATTTATGATCCCAATTATCACTGAACAACAACCCAGGTTGCTGTGAAAATAAATTATTTTTAATCCAAATTACCCAGTTCACATACTTCACCCACCTCTGCTTAGCAGAACAGCTGGTGTTTACCAACTCTTCGTTACTGTTCCAAGCAACACAAGAAGATGATGCCCGGAGAGGAGCAGCCACCTCTGAAATAAGATGAGCTCAAGGTTTACCTCTGCCTCAGACCCTCTGCTCCTCCACATCAGGTCTCTCCATCCACCTCAGCCTCTATCCACCTCAGCCCAGTGGACATTTGCACCACTGTACCATGGAGAAATGATGAAAAATGTCTGCTGATAATAATTATTATTGTGGGGTGCTGTATTTCTGCAGGAAGTGGTTTTACATGGTTTCCATGTAAACCCAAATAAATCCAGCTATCTCTACCCTTCTGCCTGTATCTGTATTTACAGTTATCAGCACTTCCTTTCTCTTAACACCACGGGAGGCTCACACCAGAGCTAAGAGGATCCAAGAATTATTCTTGTCATGGTATTTCCACTGTCCAAGAATGACCATATGTTAGAGAAACTCAGTCCCTCTTTATTCCAGACCTTAAATGGCCCCCTGAGGCATTAAACAAATGTGACATAAGAGGGGCAGTATTGGCTCTTAGATGGGCTTACGTCAGGACTGGGAGAGCTGGTGCCCAGAAGGCCACATTGATGAAAGATTGGAGCAAGATGGGTCAGCATCAGCTCAGACACTGGGATGCAGAAGCTCCAAAGCCAATGCCAGGAGATTCCTAGAGCACCTTCATCCTCTGGAACTATGAGAAAGGAAGATGCTGTTTTTAGCAGCTGTGTGAAAGTGTGTGCTGCTGCACGTGGCCCCCACCAGTCCTATTTCCAGCACTGCTGGCTGAGGACTGGAGAAAGGAAAACTCCTGTACTGGGCATGGAACAGACAGTCACATGCAGCCCAGGAAAAGTCACAAGCCACAGCAAGATAATGACACCTGGTGTCAGAGGAGACTTGATCCATCCTTTCCCTTTCCCCTATTTCTTCCTCCTCCTCTGTAGCAAAGGAGGGCTAGGCACTGGTGCTCAGTGCCTTCTGCAGGATAACTCCTGCTCTTCCACATTCCTTCTCTTCCAACCTTCTCTTGGAGCAACATCACAACTATGGCCAGGCTCTGCACCCACAGTACCTTGAGGGCATCCCTGTGCTCTCTCCCTCCATACACACATGGATGCTCCCTGCTGTGTCTAAAATACTGACAGCTCCCAGACATGCCCCAGGAATGATGGACATGGTCCCCCTATTCTGAACAGGGTGGAGAACGACAACCCCCAGCCTGGCTACCCCAGGACCCGAGCCATCACATGGTGATCTTCTCTGGCACAAAGTCCCCAAAGTTTCTCTGCCCACAAAACTCTGCTGGTGTCTGGAGGGATGGAGTATCCTCACCCTCCTTTGGACACAGGCCCAGGAGCCCAGGATCACCAATCACTCTAAGATTCACTTTATTTCAAAGTATTATTATGGAGTTTAATTAGCCCTGGCCACCCCGAGCTCTCATCCCACCAGGAAAACAGCCCAGCTTTGTCACAGCATGTGGGAGCAGGCAGGCAGATGAGGGAAAGGGGAAATGATGTTTTATGGGATGTTCTCAAGGAGCAAGACTTTTTTGTCCCACAGGCACCACAAATTTGTTTGCTGCCATTTAAGGAGGACACATTTGGTTTCAAACCATGGGCCAGCTCCACAGTCCCTGCAAATCAGAACATCTCTGTTTGACTCATGGAGCTTTGCTGATTTAGACCAGCTGAGACACTGACCCTCTATGTTTAAACAAAGCTCATTTTTTCTCACCAGTGCCAGGCAGAACAGCCTCAGCTTTGGCTCCGGAAAGGATATTTCAGCAGGGATGCTCTCTACATGATTCATCCTTCACTAGGCTGAACTTTGACAAGAACTGCAACAGCCACTGGTCACTGTGGTGGGTCTGTGGGCCACAGGTAGAGGCACCGTCACCTGGATCCCAGCCCCAAAGGGCAGAGCCTGGCCAGTGGCACAGCACCAGCTGCTGCAGCCACTGCTTAGAAAAGCCCCTCTGGGATGTCTTGGGCCCCATCTCAGGGGCCCAAAGGGCACTGCTGGGGCGCAGACAGTCTGAGTGCAGGGACGCTTCTATGGGGCCATGCAGCATCCCTAAGTGAGCTGCTGTGGATGGCCAGAGAAATGGGTGGAGATCTTGGTGCTCAATTCTGCACCAGGCAGACCCTCAGGTCTCCCAGAGCCATCAGAGCTTCCCTCCCCTCGATAGCCTGGCGTCCACTTGACAATCTGCTTTCTGGTACAAAGAGGTGAGACTGTGCTTTTCCTCATGTATGAAAAGAATCATAGAATGTATAGGGTTGGAACAGACCTTAAAGATCATCTAGATCAAAAAAAAAAAAAAGGGGAACTGACCTGAAAAACTGCTGAAAAGATCCTTCCCTGGCACAGTGAGCACCAGCCATGTGTACTGAGAACAGGCAGCCCCATGGAGTGGACAGAAAGGTTTTGGGGACCGGTTCTCCCCGGAGCTTGCAATATTTCAAACAGGATGAAGATTTACCTCCTCTGAACTCGGGGCTGAGGCTCCCCAGGAGCATTGCAGGAATGCTCGGTAAACAAGCAGTAAACTATTCATTGCCCCGGTGATGGATGCCTCGAAGGGATTAGAAGAGGAAGATGAGCTCAGCATTTGCAAAGAGCAGGGAGGAAATAAATGTTCTGCATTTAGCAATCCCGTGCAGGGGAGCATGGTCAGGGAAGGGGAAGAACTTGGAACAGGGTCTGTCTGCGAAGACCCAGATGGGTGTCTGGCCACTGGTTGTCAAAGCAAAGAGATCACTTGGAAAAACTGCTCCTACTTCCCTGTGCACCAGCCCAGACTGAGAGCTGAGCTCGGTGTTGGCCAGGAAGCAGCTCTCACTGCAAAAATGGGCATTTATTGCTCTCTGGTGGCGAGATGGGCTGTGGAGGACGAGAAGCCTCCTTGGAGCCTTCTACTGCCTCTGGTCACTCCACAGAGTTTTGTTTCTCTTCCAGCCACGTAGCTCAGGGCACTTGAAGGTAACTTGCTGCCTGCTGGAAAGTGGGGTCTCCTCGGGCTGCCAACAGCCCAAGCAAGGGCAGTGCAGCTGCCTCTCCTCACCAAAAGCTCCCCCGTGCCCCATCAGCACCCCTGCCCAGGGGCTGGATGTGCCACAGTGCAGGCCAGTGTGTCCAGCCTCACCATCTGCATCCCAAGGGGCTCTGCAGCCAGGAGAAAGGAGACTGGGGAGGGTACAGGGCTGCAAAGCCTGGGCCAGGTCAGGACTGACAGCTCTGAGAATCAGTGCCATTTAGGTTGGAAGAGACCTTTAAGATCATCGAGTCCAACCATTAACCCAGCCCATCACCCAAGGCCACCACTAAACCATGTCCCTAAGTGACACATCTACATATCTTTTAAACACCTCCAGGGATGGTGATTCCACCACTTGCCTGGGTAGCCTGTTCCAGTGCTCTTTTCCTGTGCTCCTGCTTTAGAGGTTGAAAATGCAGATGGGCTGTGAGGTAGAAGAGGCCACCTGGCTGCTCCAGTGCCAGAGCTGAGGCTCAGTGACAGGCCTGGGGTGTGGGAGGGCTCTGCCTCCCCCGGAGCAGCTGTTTGTCTGCATATGGGTGTGGTCCCCATGCAAGGTTTGACCAGCCGCTCCTCATTTCCCGAATTCTGTCTCTCACTGACAAAAGCTTTGGTGGTGCTTCTTACAAAACAAGGGTTTGGCAGAGGTATGGGTCACAGCCCTCTGTGGAGAACACAGGACAGAAACCAGACAGGAATAAATACAGGAGGTGCTATTCAAGTTAAAACACATTTTGGCCGAGCTGAGCTGCGCCACAGGACCTGAGGTGTGTGGGGCAGTTAAGGGCAGAGGCAGGCACATGGCAGCACTCTCCTGTCCACGTCCTTGACAGGGCACTTCTGAAACACCATCAATAGCTCAGTCCCACTGCACCACATACTCCAGCACCACTGCTGGGGCCTCATCCTGCCCAGATGCCCAGCCTTGATGTACCACCTCGACTATGGTGCACAGCCCTGCTCCTGAAAAATAAGGTCAGTGTCCCAAGTGCCTGTTGGGGACAAGGAGGCCAAACGCTGCCAGCTCCTTAGGATGTGGTGCAGGACCCCTTCTGGGCCAGTGGTCCTGGAGAGCACAGGACCTGTGCAGGACACTCCTTGACGGCTCGTGCTGGAGTCCCCGGGGTGGCAGATGGGTCAGACGACGTGGCCTCCTTCACTCAGCCACCTGGGCCGGTACGTGGCACAGCCTGGTGTGCCCTCAGGCCCCTGTGGGGCACTGGGGATGGCTCCCAGCTTGGCACGGATGAGGGACTGCAGGTCCTGGTCTCCCAGCTCGGTCGCTGCGGCGAGGGCCAGAAGGAAGTAGGCTGCTGCATCCTGTTCATCCTAACCATAAAGGACGGGGAAGGTGTTAGGAAGTGGTTTAATTGAAGGTCACAGGGCTGAAGGGAACTGGAGCAGAGCCCAGTGGTTCCAGGCAGAACCCAGTGACACCTGATTTCATTGAAATGGGTTCTGTATAATCGCAGCTAAGTGCCAGCACTTCTTTCCAAATTGCCTTTCCCCCTTAAAAACCTGGTTGTGCCAGCACTGGGAGCATTTATTCTAAATCTGCAGATAGGAGGGAGAGTCACAGGTTACAGCCATCTACACGTCTGCTCTGCCAGGAGATGTGACACTTCACCTTCAGCGCTCCATCAAGGCCAGAGTGCTCAACACAGCACCATGGAAAACATCATTTCTTACCTTCAGCTTGTGCAGGGTCAGGTTGCCAAGGTGGCAATACACCTTGCAGTAGTACAGGGCCTCTCCCGAGCACTGCAGCATGGGGGGACGCATGGCAAGTGTCTTCAGGTAACAATCTTCTGCCATCTCATACATGTGCAGAAAATAGTAGACTGTAGCCAGGCGGTGGAATGCAACCAGCTCCTGCAACTGATCTCCTGGAAAAGAGTTGCTAATACGGTCACCCTGCAGCACTCTCAGTCCATCCCCTGCCCGGCCTGCTGAGACACTTTGGATGCATTTTCTCAACAGCCTGGGGGCATGGATACCTTTATAAGGAGCCAATGAGGTGGAGGAAACTGAGCCCTGGGTGGGGTTGCTGATACCACAGCTGGACAGATTGACCTGGGAGTATATCATGATTTCTTGGGTGCTGGATGGGGCTATTACAAGAGTGGTTTCATATCAGACATTCATGCTGGCATTTTGCCCATTCAAACTATTTCTGTAATGGGAAGGGGTGAATTTATTAGAAGAGCCAGGGCAGAGAGGAACTGCTCAGTCCTGTGCTTTCATCAGACTTCCCATGCTCCAGTGTAGCAACAACCCTACGTTGTCACGCAGCTTAAGAGGGGAAGTGGCCTTAAAAAGATGTTACCACGTAGGGTAAGAATGGGTCCAGCAGTGTTATGCAAGAAGGAGATGCCCCTTTTACAGGCACACTGTTCTCATCCACAGGAGCCAGTGACTCACAGTACCCCGTGGATGTGCACCACTCACCAACCCTGAGGCTCAGCCTGGCTGCCAGGGTAGCAAACTCCAGTGCCTTCTCATAGCCCTGCAGCCTGATCTGCAGCTCTGCCAGCTTGTTGAACAGCCGTAGCTCTGTCTTAGTGGCCTTTAGTTTCCTGGCCAAGGGCACAGCACCTCCCTAAGGAGAGAGAACAGTGAGTCCAGGATGTTCCTGAAGGTATCATCAATGCCTGCAGAGGGGTGACAGAGCAGCAGGACAGGGACCAAGTACTTGGCATGGCAGGAAGAGGATGGGATAGTTGAGCACTGCAGGTTTAGGTTCTAGTCCCTTCTTTCCCCTGAAAATGAGATTCATATCCCAGAGCATGGTTCTAAAAACCTGAGCCTCACATCTCTGCCCTTCCTTAGGTGCTTGAAAAGTCCACAGGAGTGACCAGCTCACACTTAACACCACCAGGATTTGTAATGTAAGGACCCTGTTCCCACCCCTGAGACAATCTCTGGGGAGAGCTGCAGCCATTGCAAAACATGTCTGTGCTCCAGGCTTCCCACTATGGCACACTCAGGACCATGCCATCCCTCTCGACCCTCCATCCCTCCTGCCTGGCCACACAGGGCTTCAGTCAGCCTCGGGGCAAAGCCCTCCACAGCCATCACCTTGTGGGGACATAAGCACAGAAATGCTCGGGGGGATCAGTACCCTGTAAAACTCCACCGCTCGATCTCTGTTCCGGTTGCCATTAAAAAAGGTATCCCCTGCTTTCTCATAAAGATCCATGGCCAAGGAGAAGTTCTCCCACTTCAGAGCAGTCTGAATGGCTGCCTAGAAGGAAAAGGAACTGGAGTGAGAGTTGGAAAGAGACATTTGCACATAGACATTAATGTGATTAAATAAAAGCAATATTTTATGAGCCGCTCTTCCACTTTGCAGCTCAGCTGATAAAATAATGCTAGAGATGGAGAGAAGCCAGTAGTCTTCTACTCCAAGAAGTCTCCAGTGACTTCCCTGGCACTTACCCCTTATCTATGTATATTTCAATGGGAACTGGTCACTTGGCACCTCCAGCTTCCTTTGGCACTCCTACATTAGTTTCTTACTCAATGAATTCCCTTACTTTCACTCAAAAATACTCTAAACCCAGTGCATGGAAAGAAAGATGGGAAATTCAGGGCCAGATAGTGCCTGAATATAAGGCAACAGCTCCTCCTTCCAGCAGCAGGTTTACATCACTCATAAGAACTTCCCCTTCCAGGTCTTCCAGCCCCAAAAGTCTCTGACCCAGAAGCAGTGATGGGAATGAACCTAGCCAGGGTGGGAATGGGACTGCTCCAGCCACCTCATCCGTACCTGAAAGTACATTTCCACCAGCTCATCCTCCTGCATAAGATAGTAGAGCCTTCCTGCCTGCAGCCAGGCCTCTGCTGCTTTCACAGTCTCCTCAAGGTCAATGAAGATCCTTAGACTTTGTTTGGTGCAATCCAGGGACTGTCTCAAAGCCCTGTGATGGTAACAGGCAAAAAGCCATTACAGAGGAATCACAGGACACTTCCAGCCATCGGCTGCGAAGCTCCCACCACCTCCTCATGGCAAACCTGTCCTCTCCTCCTATAGTTGTCAAAGTTTAGAGACAAATGGGGAGCCAGAGCTCTGAGCAATGTGTCCTGGTAAGGTCATGGAGGTCTCCATGCTTTAATGCATGTGTGTGTGTATCATCTGGCAACCTTAGAGCAGTCCAGGACCCCAGTGTTCCCACAGGGGAACCCCTGTGTGGTTCCCCTGATAAATAGGGGTTGGTCCAGGTCACCTGCAAACACTATTTGCCTCCCTACACTAATCCCCAAAGTCACCCCCAGCTCCACATGGGGGTACAGGCAGGGAGTTCTTGTACCTTCATCTCCCAGACAGAACCTGGCACCCAAACCCACAAGGTTTGTTTGTCCCTTGCATAGTCAAAGACACAGATCTGTATGTACCTATGCAAGACCTTACAGCTCCTTTTCAAGCCCTTGGTCACTGGAGGACATAGGAATAAGCAGCAGGATGAGCCAGTGGGTTGGACATGAAGTCAGCTGTGGGGAAGGGAGAGCCAGGCAGTGCCCAGGGCATTTTGTTTGCTTGGTGTCTCTCCTGCTGGCAACCAGGCTCCAGCTGTCCTTTGAGTCCAGGGAATGGGGTGCTTTGTGATCTTAAATAGCACCATCCACATGACAGGCATCTGCTTCCTAAATACCTTCCCTCTGAACTCACTGTGACCTGATAGGGGACATGAACATCCCAGTTAGGGATAGCCCTTGCCCATTTGTCCTTCTGGGACACGGCAACCAGCTCTCCACTGTTTGACACATTTGTCTTCAAGGACTGAAGTCTGTGGTCTGTCCACGTCTCTTTCTCTTCTCTCCTGCCTAATCTAATCAGTCAACCTGCAGGTGTCAAGCAGGAGATTGAAAGGTGAGCTGATATGGAGTCTTAAGTACCTCCTACAGGACCTTAAGCACCTCCCTGGGGAAAATATCCCAGCAGTTATAGGAAGGGCAGACTCAGCAGCTGGAGGCTGAAACCAGACTTATTAAAATAACAGATAAGGAGCCTATTTTTACTGGTGAATGGTGATTAATCACTGGAATAAGCCTCCAAAGGAAGTAATGAATTCCCTGTCACTGGGTCCCCTCTGATGAAGGCTGGATGTTGCTCTGGAAAACTGTGTTTGGCCAGACCCCAGTTCTGTCTGGGACAACTTTTGCCTGGCTGTCGTGACACTCTGGTTGACATTGAACTGTTCCCTCTTCACAGCACAGTGACAGCTCATAAATCTCAGAACAAGAGTCTGCAGGGCAGCTGGAGCCACCACACACCTTCCCACCTCACTTGAGGGACACCCCAAGAAAGCCACTGCTCTTGCTCTGGGTAAGCAAGGACCCCGCTCTAACAGCATCCAACAGGCACAGACAGGACTTACTCAGGTGTGCCCAAAGCCTGGTAGAGCTGACTGAGGGCCTGTTGGGCATTGCCTTCCAGCTCTCTGTCCTGCAGCTGTTGTGCCAAGGACACCCAGTGCTCATGGTAGGTGATGCAGGCCTGGAGATCAGGGGACACTTTGCTGTAGAAATGGCAGAGAGACTCAGTGATGTGAAGCTGACCTGCATGGTACAGGAAAAGGGAAAAGGACAGGTCAAGGGGTTGTTTTAGGGAGCTGGCAGGGTGCTGCTCAGAGGTGAATGCTACCCTGGTCCCCTCTGTACTCACTCCTCAAGTTATGCCACTTCAGGGCAAAAACCAATGCCAGTTCATAACAGAGTTTGCCATCTTCCATCCTCTGCCTGTCCACCATGGCCTGTGCCAGCCCCAGCAGCACCTGCACCAGCTCCATCTCCAGGTCTTGGCTGCCCTGGAGCTCAGCGTAGAGCTGGACTGACTGGAGCAGGTAGAGCTCAGCCAGCTGGCTGGCCCCACACCCCAAGCTCAGCTGCCCCAGGTTAGCCAGGGCAATGGCCTGATTCCTCTTGTTCCCGGTCTCCTTGGCCTTGTGCAGGGCCCAGAGGAAGTTCTCTGCAGCCGCCTGCACCCGCCCTTCTCCCTTGAGGGCAATGGCCAGGAGGTTGTGCACGGCTCCGCCCTGAGTCACACTGTCCGTCCCACTCAGGGACCGCAGGAGCTGCCACAGGATGTCTGCAGCCGGACCTGGCTGGCCCTGCAGGAGGTACATCCACCCCAAAGAGAGGGAAGACTCAAAAGCCTCCTCCTCGCCCATCAGTCTGCTGAGGGCTACAGCCCTGGCTGCATAACAAACCGCCCCGTCCAACACCCCGTGCTGGAGGTACATCCTGGACAAGATGGCACACAGCGTCCTCTGGGTGGGCACAGCTCTGCTCTCACAGCAGAACTGCAGTGCTTGCTTGAGATAGAAACAAGCCAGTGCTGGGATGCTGCTTCTCTCCAGTTGGCTTCCCAGTAGTTTGGAAGAATTTTGGAGGATGAAGCCAGCCCTCCAAATGGGTGTCGGTGCTCCCTTGGTGCCACTGGGAACAAACAACCTGGCGGAGGCCAGTGCAATATTTGGCAAGTACTTCTTGTCATACAGGTAGCTCAAGATGGCAGGGGCATCCAGTGGCCCAGAACTAGTGCCTGGGCCGAGCAAAGTGGTGGTGAGACACTGAAGATGCTCCATAAAGGGCAGCACTTCATCAGTTTTGCCCAGTTGTAGGAAGAGCTTGACAATGAGGAAGCAGACCCGTGCCTCCAAGGGAGCATTGCCCACAGCAATGGCTTCCCTCAAGACGTACATCATGACTTCCAGCTCGTTTTCAGAGCTGAAAGAGCGGCCAGGCAAGCAGACAAGCAAGGTCACCATTTTCCCCAGCAGGGAGGAGAACTTGTGCTTCATGTTCTGTTTCAAATAGATGGAGGCAAGGGTCACATGCAATGCTGCCAACAGAGGCAGGTCCTGAAATCCCCTGTCCAGGACACTCATGGCTTCTTCAAAGTAGACTCGAGCCTGGGAGAATTTGACCTTTTTGATGCAGAGCTTACCCAAGAGGAAACAGAGCCTGACATGAGCCCAAACTGAATGAGTCCTCTTGGCCCAATTCCTGGATGTCTCAAGGTACAGGACCAGTTCATCCTCATCGGAGAAACCATAAAAGGTGGAGTGGAGAAAGGAGAAGCTGAGATCATAGAGGCTTTGAAAACTGGATACATAACTATCTTGGTTAAGGAAGGTCAATATGGGGTCAAAGACATCAGCATCATCCATGTGTCCAGCATTCAGGTCAATAAAGAACTTGGGATAATCAAAGTCATCCATCTTCTCCAAGAGAACATCTTCTAACATAGAAGGGGCTGATTCACTCCCTGGGCTGGACAGCTCGGAGGTGCTAGTTGTAGCCATTTCATTTATTTCCTCCCAAGACTGGAGCAGTTGGATATCTTTACTGGCATGGAGAACAGCCTCTGGAAGGGACAGGAAAACCATAGCAAGGTTAGGAAGAAATTCCTTACTGTGAGGGTGGTGAGGCCCTGCCACAGGTTGCCCAGAGAGGCTGTGGCTGCCTCATCCCTGAAAGTGTTCAAGGCCAGGTTGGACAGGGCTTGGAGCAACCTGGTCTAGTGGAAGGTGTCCCTGCCCATGGTGGGAGGGCGGAGCAAGATGATCTTTAAGGTCCCTTCCAACCCAAACCATTCCTCATGTCAAAATTCACCCTCAGAACTCAACACAAAAGCATCCCATTCTGTCCCCTCCTCATACTCACCTGATGGCACTTTTGGGAACATGGCTGCAGGTTCAAAACCATCTATACAGAAAGACAAACAGAAAACAAAAAGCCCAAAGCCTTGGTCGGTGTTAATGTGCAGACACAGTCCCCCAAACCTTATAGACATCTCCTGCTGCTCTGCTAAACTCCAGACCCTTGTGTGGCTTCTAGCTGCAGACACCACAGGCAGCTGCAGTTCAAATCCCTGGGATCTGCTGGGGTTTGGTGCTTTGTAAGACCATGGAGAACAGCTTTTAGCTGGTGGTAAGGTGAGGTAATGTGATAGTTACCTGGGAACTTCACAGGTAGGGTTTTATCAGCTCTCTCAAGAGCCTTGTGGTGTCTATTCAGAGGTTTCCAGGTATGTGTGTCTGTACCTTGGGCTCATTGCCCCTCACCTGGCTCCTCTGAGAGTTCCCCTGAATCCTAGGAATCCCAGACTCAGCCCTACATGGCCACACTGTGCTTCTAGGTTGTGAGAAAGCAAGAAATAGAGACACAGAAACCAGCTGAAGTCCAAAAGCCACACTGGAAGCACAGAGAAACTGAGCACCCAGGAGCCCTGACTCAGGTAGGCAGGAACTTAAAGCCAGTGGAGAGCAGAACCTGCCAGGGTTCTCCACAGCTGAAAAGCTGCCTTGGGAACAGAGAAGGCCCCTACAAACTGCAGTGTGGCAGGGGTCACCTCTTGAGGATATCTACAACCTCCATGACCAGGCTTTGGAGGTTGGCTCTGCCACAGTAGTTCTCTCCACTGCAAAGCCCAAGCAAAGAGCTCTCTAGGCACTGTCCAGCATCATTCTCCGTGGGGATCCACATGTCTGGGCATGTGAGGAGAGGGGACACTCACCCAGGCGGTACACAGAGGTGATGTCAGTGCGTGCCAGGTCCCCGAGGAGGGTGGTGAAGTGCTGCTCGTCACCATTGCATGGGATATGCAGGAGGGGGGACTTTTCTTCTTCACTCAGAAACACCAAGCCCTTTCCCCTGGGGTGAGGCAGATATCAGGAGAAGACAGTCAGTGTCTCCCTGATGCTATAGCTGTCCTGTAGGATGGGATTTTCCATCCCTCTTCCTCCCACCATAAAAGTTCTGCTGCAGATGAACACAGGATTTTGGACACCTTCCCCATGCAGGTTCTCCATGAAGGAACCAATGGATACCAGAGGAAAGGAGTTATTGGTATTTTTATTTAATCCAGAATCCCTTTCTGAGGCCAGGACGACATCTGATCTCCTCTGTTCTCTGGAGTGTCAGAGAAAAGTGCTTGCAACTTGCCTTGGGTAAGTGACTGAGTAAGGAAAGCCCAACAGACCTAGCAACAGGTTAAGACCTTGTCCTCCCACACACACTCTTGGAGGAGAAGCCTTTTTGGATGGGCACTGAACTGGAGCTATATCTTTAAGCCACCCATAGAGACAACTACCCGAGTTGTCAGAATGGGGTTGTGTCACCCTTCTTCCCTGGATAACTCTTGCTTTGTCCTTGAGAGAGTATTGAATTCTGCTCAGGGAGAAACTGTGCCAGTGGTCGTTCTGCCTCGACAGCAATCCTACAGGAAGTGAAGAGGCAGAAGGAAGCCAAGCATGACTTGGTTTTCTCGTCAGGGATTGCTCATCCTGCCCTTGCCAGACTCACAGCACCTCAGACAAAGCTACAAACTGAAGACATTTCTAGGTGGAGTGAAGCCAGTTTGTCTGGTACACAGATGTCCTGGGCTGCCTTCGCATGGAGCCAGGTTAGCCCGGGGCCAGATCTGTTCCTCTCCAAGAATCACCTGAGGCAAGTGAAATACGATTGCTTTGTCTGGGCAGAGACTGCTGCAGCCTGTTGGCAGCAGAGCCTGGCCAAGGCTTCTGGTCAGACCTCAAATGGATTCTCTGTGAAGGTCTTGCAAGGCAAATTACCTGCCCTAGACTCTCATACAGCCTTGAGTTGGGACTTGGAATCTTCCCTCCATTTTCTCCTGAATTTAATGTGATAAGTAAACTTACAGAGGTTCACAAGCCTCGGGACTTATGTAGCGGGTTGGAACAAAGCCAGTGCTCCCACTGCTGAGGGATTTGCCCACAAACCACGGGAGTCCTGGAATGAAGAAGCCTATGACTTCTATGCTGTCTCCTTTGGAGAAACTCAGTTCATCCCATGCTGCTCCTCTGTGGTCCTCGGTGGCGGTGCACCTGCCTTTGACTGGGAAACCAAAGCAAACAAGGGCATTTTAGTGTGAGGCCACTGCTAAAAATTTCATGCTGGAAAAGACTTGGGCAAGGAGAGAACATGATTTCAGCTTGAGAAGGCTGCTTCTCTCTCCCCTAAGATTTATTGTGCTCTTTGATTCAGACCTCTGCCATTTCTTCTTGAGAAATGGATTATAATAAAATATACAGGAGGGAGGGATAAACTCCACACAGCTGAAGGCTGAAGCCTCTGAGAGCTGCAGTCTGGAAGGTGACTGGAAACATGGAGCTTCACAGAAGCTGCACTGTCTCAACTCTCTGCCAGGAGTGAAATCTTGAACAGCACAAATGTCCATCACACTACATGCCAAATTCACACCTGCAGGAATCTCCCATGTCCAGCATACTCTGAACAGGACTGGCCTGGGGCTAACTGGTGAATGGTGGGCACAGGTTTCATGTGCACACTTGTGGGACCCTCATTATTTAAAACTTCACTCCTGAAAGAATGAAAGGAGACATAAAATTGTAGTGGAATAGGAAAACCCAGTGGCAGAAGGATGCCACCAGCAGCCCGCTGTACCCTACGTTCCTTGTATCATCCTTTGAAGTACACACGGTTTGCAAGCTCTGTTCTCCATTCCAGAGGTCCAGAGATGCCGTATTCCCTTAGAGCACCCAGAAATGGTGTGCCATTGCCAGAACAAGAGATGAACTCTTTGCATTTGTGGTCAAAACCAGGCTTGCGAGAGCCGTGCCCTTCCCTGGGATGCTGCCTTACACAGGTATCACTCACCAATTGGCTGAGAGGTTGTCCCACTGATCTCCTGGGAGATGCCAAAACTCACAGCATAATTCTTCAGGAACCACCTGCAAGGCAAAAGGAAATCGCACTGGTCCTCTCTGAGCAGTCCTGTCCTCAGGCCAGCTCCAGGGATGGTGTCACTCAAGCAGGAGACATGTTCTGTTCCCTGGGAGTGCCAGCATGGCCAGCACATCCAGCCCAGTAATTCCTTGTAATGGTTTTACTGGGCACAGAGGGCAGTTTGCACCACACCATGGTAAGAGCAGGATAAATTTGCTAGGCTGTAAGGAGGATTTCACCATGTAAGAGGAGCTGCAGGTGTCTTTGAGGTTCAGCCAGGTGACAACGTGAAGCCCCACTTTGGCTGGCATTGCCTAAATTTTTTCTCCACTTATTCATCTGCAAATGACAGATAATCTCATGTATGACCTAAATGAGTATCATACAGGAATGATATCTGAAGTACAAGTATGTCCTTGCTCTGTCTCATTAACAGGACCTGAATTGGTTCCAGTAGTTGTCTTTATGCATAATCTACATCCTTATGGAATTGTGAGGTTCTTTCCCATTGCCAGAGGCAAGAGCAGTTTCCCATACCAGCCTTTGGTGCCAGCTCATGCATCAGGATCAGGAAAGCGTCTTGGCTTGAGCCCTATTAATTCACCAGTTTACTTACTGGTAAAATGGGTGAGGTATTGGCTCTAGAGCTGTCATGGGCACCATGCCTCGTTGACCCGTTAGTAAGGACATCCCTTCCCATTTTGAGTCCTCTCCAACATTCTTCACATGGATCAGCTCATTCTTGCAGAGCTGCAGGCCTTCCTCTCCCTCCTGCTCCGTCTTCCACGCGCCTGGCATTGCTCTGGAGAAAAAGTTACCTGCAGATAGAAAGAGTCATGCCGGGGTCAATGGCACCAGTGCAAGGCATGGCCCAGCAGAGGGCTGCAACTCAGCCCTGCTGGGACAATTTTGAGGAACTCCAAACATGTGAAGTCCCTTCACACCTTCCTGGAGGAGCAGATCCATATATATGGTGGCCAAATGATCCTCATCCACAGTGACTCTGATCTCCGTGTCCTCCATCAGGGCACAGTTTAGCCAGTACTCCTGGCCAAACAGAAGCTGCTCCAGGCAGCTGCCCACGTATCCTAAGGAATCAAGAGGGAAATCAGCGTTACCATCTTCCTTCATTGGACAGCATGAAGGGCTCTTTGGATATTTCCTAGTCTGCCATCTGCAACCATGCTGTGAGGCAAAAGCCTCTTATTTTGTCTCCATACCCAACATGCAATAGAAGGATTATCCAGAAGGCATCCTCCTGGGTCTCCTTCACTGATCCAGACAGTAGTTTCAGAAACAGTCAAAAGACTGCAAAGTTTTCTAATTCATATTCTTCACCTGTCCACCCTGTTATATTACAGTACCTTCTTCAAAAATGCTTCTCACACTGTCTGTTTAGACCTCCCAACACCTTGAAAACATTACCTAAAGTCAGATACGTGGAAAACTTCCAGACTTCTTCCAGGGTTTTGAAGGTGAGGAGGAACCGATCCTCCTGTGCTTGCATACAGACCAGCCTGGCTGACAGCTCCTACACACAGGAGACAAAGCAGGATTCAGGGACAGTCTGGGACTCTGACAGGGGGGTCTAATGATATTAGACCCTGGAATGAGACTAGCACTCAACTATCAGCATAGTTGAGACTGAAACTGTGTGAGTTGTTTGCCAGGGGTTAAGGTTGTTCCAGCCAGCTGAGTCCTTCCTAGCTCACTCCAGGGCTATCTGGATGATCCCTCAGGCAGCTCAGAGCCCCCAGTACAAGGCTCCTACTACGAGGCTCAGATTTGCCTCTCACCTGTTACCAGCTCATTTCCCCCATCCTTCCAGTCCCCTCCAGAGCCCCCGTGTGCAGGCACACACCCTGCAGTGGCCTTGGAGAAACTTCTCTTTCTCAGCTAGGTTTGGTATCCCATCACACATCCCATCCTGCCAGGAGCATCCCAGCACATGCTCTGCTCTGCCAGGCTGAGGCTTTTACCTTGAACAGGGCACAGACCCCTCTGTCATCACTCTCCAGGGCCCACAGCTTCTTTCTGGCTGCTTCCTGGAGCTGGGAATTGAGGCAGCTGGAGGAGCGACTCTCAACGGAGAAGAAGAGTGATATCTCTTGAAACAAAAAAGTTAAGGGGGTTAAGGAGTAGAAGGAGCTCTGTGGCACCCAGAGCTGCCTGTGCCAGGCCCAGCAGTGCCTCCAGCCTGGCTGTGATGCTCAAAGAACACAAACCCAGCTCGTCCTCCCCCTTCAGCCACCCAGATAAGAGACTCGAGGGATGGCAGGGGCTCTGCTACATTTGGGAGATTCCACAGGCATCTTACCTGGTGGAAAGCCCTCTCTGACAGGCAGCAGCACCAAGGAGGTGTCCGGGGAGCCATCTCCTGCCTCAGTAGTGGGGCTGCTTGGCTCCGACGCCCCAGCCTTACCTAGTGAGGAGGGAACACACAGAAGAGCTGCTGACAAATGTTGTGGCAGAGGTTTAGGATATCCCGCCTAACCTGAGAGCACCTGAGGGCTCAGCCCAGGGGTTGCACTGCAGATCTGGCTGGGATTAGGTGAATCTGGTAGCACTCTACAGTCATGCTCAAGGTTGGAGGCAAGATCCATGGGATTAATGTGTCTTAACTACGTGACACCCTTGATGATGGGTTTCTTTCCAGTGCTGGAGGGGCTTTGGAGTGTCCAAGAGCTTTCCCTCCTTGCTCTTGGACAGACCCTCACTGAGCAGATCTGTTAGAAGGATGTTTTAGAGGAGACCTCAGAGCAAGAGCAATTCCCCAGCACAGGAGAGTCAGGGCCTTGCAAAATTCTTTACTTATCAATTTTGACAGTCAAAATGAGATTTTCTCCCCTGCCTGGTTGGTAACTGATATCCAAGATGCATTCTCTCTGCTTCACACATTGTCAACTATTGCCATAAAGGATTCAGGAACTGAAACTTTAGCTGGTAATTATGTTAATGAAAGCTGAGGCACACAAAAATCCAGCTTGCTCTTCCACAGCTGTATTGGCTGTGGAGGGATAACAAGATTAAAACCCAATTTTTGTCAGTAATCAGATTGGACTTGTAAGACAAACAAGGACCCAGAGATCTGGAGCTGGATCATGCAGCAACTTCTGTAAGTCACTTCTGTGACCATAACTATACTCTACAGTTCTTTTAATTCAGCCAGCTTTGCAAGCTAGTCAAATAAACTGCTATTTGCATGCAGAATTATAATCCTTATTTATAGTTAGCAAGTAAAAAAGAATGGCCCAAGGCTGCACATGTCATGAATGAGCTTTTCTTTGAAAGAAAAGGCTCTACATTTCTCAGCAGTTGATTTGAACACACTTAACAAAGGACCTCATCTAGCAGCTCCATCCCCTTCCACATGTGGGGGAAACAGAGAAGGGGAAGTGAAAGGAGACAGAGGCAGAACTAAATCCAAACTGGCTCCTGCCAGGCTGGGCTCGCCTACCAGCTGCCACTCCTCCCTCTCCTCCTCCCCTCCCTGTGTCCCAGCAGACCCTGCCAGGCTCCACTGGGCTCGGCAGGGCCCGGTGGGCAGGGCTGGGTCCCACTTCCCTGGGCATGGGTACCTGATGCCATGGTCCTCTCCTGACACCATTTTCCCTGGTGTTCAGCTGCTGTTTGGTGCAGATGGTCCCAGCGTGGCAGGAGCACGGGCGAGTGGGGACAGCAGGAGTCACACTCTTCACCTGGGGAAGACGGAGGGTGGGCAGAGACGTTCGGATCCCCAGCAAGATGCTCCCTGCCTGAGAGGTCTCCACAGGATGTGCCAGTGGAGGTGGCAGATTGGACACTGCTCTTGCCACCTCCATCAGTGGCAGGACAGAACATGACTGTGGGTCTCCAGAGCCAAGCAGGGATGAGGACTTACTCGGGTGAGCAGAGAAATGGGTTTGTTCTCACAGATTCAGTGTTTATTTTTGTTTGGGCCAGGCTCAGAAAGGGAACTGGGAACTGTTTTCAAGAGACCAATTGAAACTGCTGGTGAGGAGTCCTTCCCAGTCGTGCCAATGAGTCATTTACCTCCCTGGTGCTGAAATATTTTGTAACAGCGGGCAGGAAACAGCCCCAGCCCAGAGCCGAGTGCAGGTCCCAGCACTTGGGGCTGCACTCCTGGCAGCCACGGCTGAGTGCTCATGGCACCCTCTGGCACTGGCTCTCCTGGGGGACACGTGGCCACAGAAGCTGGCCCTGAGCCACCTCCCTCCTCCAGCCCTTTAGCACAGCCCCATGACCTCATTTGGACACGCTAGTACAGGAATCGTGTCTTGGGGGCTGGCAGCACCCCTTGGGCTCTGCAAGCCTTGCAGTTCTTGGGGGACTCCTGGGCAGCAGTGGTAGTCAGACAGGGGTGGCAAGGGGCTCCTGAAAAGCCAACAGCCTGGGAACCTCCTGAGTCATCCTCTCCCCTCCCCAGCCAAAATGTCGTGCCTCATTCCCTGCGCACCCTAATCCAGTGGGCAAGAGGAGGTGGCACCAGAAGCTGCCTCAGGAAAGGCAGGCAAACAGCCAAAGGGGCCCATGCTCAGCACTGGTGTCTCCCCAGAGGCCCCGTCCAGCAGGACGAGCTCTGCAGCCACAGGTCTCACAGCCCAGCTCAGACAGAGCAGGGCTGTGGCATCCCCACGGACAGCTTACCTGTGCATCCCAGGGACAGGTCCTGGTGCCAGGGGGTCCCCAGGCAGCAGCCCATGTGTCCAGTGGCACCGCCAGCCCCGGGGCAGTGGGCTGCTGCTGCTGCTGCTGCTCCTGCCTGGCCAGCACCGCAGCCCGGCCACAATGCACAATGTGCCTTTTGACCAGGCACCGGCTGCCAGCACGGCGGGGGCGATGGGCACGGAGTCAGGGAATGGTTTGGGTTGGAGTCATAGAGTCAGAGCATCATTTAGGGTAGAAAAGGCCTTTAAAATTATCCAGTCTGACCCTAAGCCTAACAGTGCCAAGTTCACCACCAAATCATGTCCCTACGTGCCACATGTACATGTCTTCTAAATCCTTCCAGGGATGGTGACTCCACCACTCCCCTGTGCAGCCTGTTTCAATGCTTGACAACCCTTTCCATGAAGAAATTTTTCTTAGTATCCAATCTAAACCTCCCCTGGTACAACTTGAGGCCATTTCCTCTCGTTCTCTTGTTCCCTGGGAGCAGAGCCTGATCCCCACTGGGCTCCCTCCTCCTGTCAGGGAGTTGCAGAGAGCGAGAAGATCCCCCCTTGAGCCTCCTTTTCTTCAGGCTGAAACCCCCCAGCTCTCTCAGCTCTCCTTATAGGACTGACTCTCCAGACCCTTCCCCAGCTCCGTTCCCATCTCTGGACACACTCCATCCTCTCAATGTCTTTCTTGCTATGAGGGGCCAGAACTGGACACAGCACTTGAGGTGCTTCACCAGTGCCCAGTACAGAGGGACAATCACTGCCCTGGTCACAATACTGCTGCTACAAGCCAAAATGACGTTAATCTTCTTGCCCACCTGGGTACACTGCTTCATCCTTCTTATTAGCCCCCTTTAGCTATTAAAAGGCTGCAATAAGGTCTCCCCAGAGCCTTATTAGCCTTTCTTCCTAGGAGAGAGGTTCCAGCCCTCCAGTCATTTTCATGGCTCTGGTCTGGATCCCCTCTGACAGGTCCATGTCTTTCTTGTGCTGGGGGCCACAGAGCTGGATGCAGCACTCTGGGGGGCTCTTACCCCATCCACTGCCACTGCTGCCCTGTCCTGGCCCCCAGTTACCCTGGGCTCCACTCTCACCCTTTCCTTTGGGATCCCATTGCCCGGCCCACATGGCACATTCCTCTCATTCCTCCCACGAGCTGCAGCATGGAGAGCCCCTCAGTCTGCCAAGCCTGACTGAGCTTCCAGCTGGTGCTGACTTCCAAAGGAAACCTTGTTCCTGACACCACTGCAAGCACCTGCCTCACCTGCACAGATGCCCCACTGAGGCCCATCCAGCATCCTCCATCCAGAGCTGGCCATGTTCCTGGGCCACCTTCCTGCCCAATGCTTTCCCTGTTTCACTGTGGGGGCAGCTGGCAGTACTGCCTGCTCCTCACCAACCTCAGCAGAGCTACATCCAGGCAAGCCACAGGTGGGTTCTCTGCAAGCCCAGACGCTGTGAGCTCCGGTGGGGCTGGCAGGGCTCACCTCATCTCTGAGATCAGGGCTGTCTGAACCCCGGATCCAAACATCAGGAGGGACTGGTTTGGCTTCTGTGCAGGATCCCCTGGGCTACACAGGATGAGTCTCATTCCCCTCTCGCTCACATGCCTTGACCTTCCCCCTTTCCAGGACCAGGACTCAGTGCTGGCTGTGCTGTCTCACTGTGCTGTGGGTGGCAGATGTCTGCAGAGCATCTCTGGGGAAGAGTAACACAGCTCCTGCAAAATAAAACCCAAAAGGTCTAGGGAGAGAAGTTGCAGGTGGGGAGGTCTTTTACTGATGGACCTTTATGTCAGCAACCAGCCAGTGCCACCACAGCAGTGATTTGTTTCCCGTCCTTCTCCAGGAGCATGGATGGCTTTCCCAGATCGCCAGGCTGCATCTCAATGCATGACAATGCCTTGAATTTATCCAGAGTAGTGAGTAATTACTCCAGTGAGTAATTTAGGCCAGATTGGATGCATCTCTGAGCAACCTGGTCCAGTGGAAGATGTCCCTGCCCATGGCAGAGGGGTGGAACAAGATGAGATTTAATGTCCCTTCCCCTAAACCATTCTGTGATTCTATAATCCAGAGAGGGTATTTCTCCCCACATTTCCATGCTGTGACAGGGGCTGTCTGGCACCACTGTGATATCCCTTTAGGGTATGCAAAGCATGAGGAGTACCCAGCTGTGGGACAGCTGTGGCAGGATGGAGTCCATCTTCATGGAGCTGGCTGGGAAATTTCAAACAGAAGTGAAGTCAAACCAAAAGGCTCTGCAGGGAAGGTTGCACTGAGTGATGCTCCTGTGCAGCCCTGGCCACCATCTGCCTGCTGAGGAGAAGACTGAAAGAGTGGGGATTCCTAGTCCTTAACAGGAGAAACTAGATGTCAAAATATTGGGGTTGCCTGGAGAAGGGACCATCCTCTTGACCCTCCTCCTGAGCCCCAGGTGTCAGGGAGCTGCAGTGCTCTTCTGGCTCTCCTGCAAAGCTGTGCAGCTGCCGGGACCTGCGCGAAGGTGAGTGCTGGGACGGGCCGGCTCTGCTCTCCCTGTGGCAAAGACACTGTCTGTTCCCATTGCTCACTGGCCCTGGAAAGCTCCACATTTAGAAAACTCCCCCAGCTGACCTAGGCATGCTCTGAAGATGCAGAACTGGAGGGGGAATTCAGATCCAGATGCAGGTGTCAACCTGCTTGTGCTCAGAGCACACAGCTGGAGTTCTGTGACGGAGTCAGTCACAACTTTACACAAAAGATGTTGCGGTTCTGGGCCCAAGTTGTCAAAGTGGTCAGTGCCTGAGCAGGGCAAGGTGCTTTCAAACAAAGCTTTTTGCTTCCTTCAGAAGGCTCTTGGTTTTAGCAATACCTACTCACCAATTAACAGCAAATTCTCCTACACAGGAGAAAATATTATTTTACATAACCAGATTTTTTTTTTCATTTTCTAAACAAAAATGTCTTCCTTTGTGGTTTTGAAATTTCTTTTTGCTTTAAAGTTTACCTTAATAACTTAGCAACCAAACCCATCCTTACACAAGCAAAGGTACCACCTCCTGTTTCACCTGAACTGGAATTTGCCTTTTGGCCAGTAACCTGAAAACCTCCCGTTCTACTTCCTACCTCTCACCATACCAGTCCTGGATCTATCCTGGAGAGCCCCCACTGCTGCTGCTGAAACCTGTCAGCCTGGCCTCCCTGGAAATACTTCCTGATAAGTATGGAAGCAGTTTTCTGGGGTCTCAGCCTGTTCCAGCTGGGGGTCTCTGCCTGTGCCAGCTCTCCAGGGTCTCTGCTCCCTTTGTAAACCTGGGCAGGCTCTGTAGGCAGAGTGCCAGCCGGCCACACTTCCCTACCCATGGCATGAAACAGAGGAGTGTGGCTGTCCGGGCACCCTTTGGCTGGGGGACAGAGCTGCCACAGACACAGCAGGTCTCCAGGCCTGTCACACAGCACTACCCATCCCTGGGACCAAATCCACGTTCCTAAATCCAGCATGTCTGCTCTGATTTCTCCTGTCAGTTCCTGGATACAAAGGACCCAAACCAAACCTGTCCTTCCCAGTGTGCTCATCACCGTCGCACCCGAGCATCAGATTCAGCCGGGACAAAAACACAAACTGTCTGCCCCAACCTGGATTTCCACAGCCGTGTCCCTGCACTGGATCTCTCCGGACACCTGCAACCTCCGCGTCCCGGCTGTGTTTGCTCAGCTGGGGACGAAGGGCACGGGCAGGCGACCAGCACCCAGCGAGAGACCCGGCACGGCGGCTGTACTGACCTGCTCCTGCACACACGCCCTGTGTGCTGCTTCCCAGCACCGCTTCCCTCATGGAGAACTCTTGGCCACGAAACTCCAGCCTCTCCAAGCCGGTTTCCCCAGGGGAATGCTGCCGGTGCCGGGACGCAGCGCGCACCCGTGCGAGTGCACAGGGCTGTGTACGTGTTTGCGAGGCGGGCGAGCGTGCCCTGCACCGCCACTCCCTCACACGAGGAAAGGAATTTCTTCCAAGAGCGGCTTATCATCTTGGGAACCTCCGCTTCCCAGCAGAGCTGCCGGCGCGGAGGTCAATGAGTTACCCAGAGTTATGCTATAAACAGCCCGGCACTCCGGCGGACTGCCGGCTCCCGAAGGGAAGCACGAACGCCCAGGCACCACCTTCGCCCTGGCTCTGCAGTAAACAAGGGCTGGCGAGGGGGATGTCCGTGGGCACAGCGTCAGGGCACGGTGTC